TCCTGACTTTGACCCCCACCCTGTGCTTTCACAAGCTTTTCATGAGGTTTCTGTCCGTCAGCGAGGCGGCGGAGGAAACAATCTACTGCATCGCAGTAGTCCAGTCGTTTCAGCGGCGGTACTCCGATTGGTTCGGTTGTTGCATCAAAAGGTTACGTTTGTAAGGCTGCGATGACTCGTGTCCACACATTTCAGAACAAACGATGAAATGTTTTATTGACGACGTTCTTTCGAAAGGAATGTTTAAAAAGCGATTGACAGGGCTATAAGCCGTTAATATTTGTGTCAAATAATTACACACTAAATGACGCAAAATGTGTCTGTAGGCAAGCGATTTTGCTTTCAAGGGAGGAGCCCGAGCTCTCGACTCAAGTCCGTTTTTTTTCACTCTACAGGGACGTGTTCATACCTCACAAAACCACACGATCCCTCAACCAGAAAAGATTTCCATATTTTCAAGTCTAATCCATATATTTTTGATTCTAAGGCAGCTCTTTTATTGCTAGTGTATTTAATGTATTTAATCTGACAGAGTTGAAGCTCTAGCCAAGTAGTGGAGGTGCAGACTCACCGATGCCTACAAAGGCATTTACCACAGCTTAAAAAAACCTTTCAATATTTATCTGTTTATTTTAATGCATGTTAAGTTCCGTTATGCCAATTTAAACGACTACGTTTGTTATATTTTCTTTCTTCTTTTTGTGGCTCTTATTGTAGTTTTGCTGTTTGTTAAGTAGCTTCTTTAGCAGAGATAGTTCTCAAAGGTGGAGCGTAAGTTGACTGGAGCAAAGCAGGAACTGGCCTTTGGATCGTCACCAGTGTTCAGTTGGTGTAAAAGCATGTCGGCAAAAGGAATAACAAAAAGGGAAGCTGGGATCGGCGGGGCTCGTGTTGTAACACGACGATGTTTGAAAGGCGGTTTATGTCATATCGAATGCGACACAATTATCACTCGATTGTGATTATGGTGCTAGGTTCACTTTAAGACTTGTCCATGAAGGTATTTTTATAGCTCATGCTGTTTATGATGTATATAATAACATTTTTATAAGGACATTTCCACTTTTTGTCAGTGTTTTTAAAAATATAAACTTTCTAGTATCGGCTTGAAGCGGCCGCTGTCCCAGCTTGAACATGCCTGAAATGAGAAGACGTGGATGTGAAAATAAAGTTTTTAAGTCAACGTGTTTCTGGGTGTTTCTGGCGAAGTCCTTTCACTGGCAGGAGGGCAGACATTGCAGACCTCAGCCCAGATCTTTCAAACGACGAATGGCAGCGATAGTATTCACTGACATCTTTTGAGCATAAAAAGTTGAAACCTGGTATTTTAAATGTTGCTCAGAGTGTGCAAGAAACATCTGGAGGAGATGATATTTACCCGGGTGTCACTCACTGACCCTCGCTGTCCATTCAGGAGGTTCAAGTAAGGAGCAATCATCCCATGCCATCCTAGTAGTCGTTCCAAGCCCAACGCACGACCACGCCGGTCACTCCACTCTGCAAATTTGACTCCCTGTTCCTCCTCTTTCTAAAAATGATTCACTCTGGAGAAGATCCACGGCACAGATGCACAAGCAGTTCACTTTGGTGGGCTTTGGAGTTCAGTCGAGGGGACAGATCCTGAGTGGTGAGTGAGGTTGGAGTGATCAAGGATGAGCAGCGTGCAGATTGGTGTTTTCTAGTCTGATTGGCTGTGACTGCAGTGATTTTGGTTCATTTATTTGACACCCAGCATTTCACAGCTTATTTGTCTTGCGTTGCTCACCTCAGAGCCTTGAGGGATAACATCCCCATTCCTGCTGGAGTCGTCCGAAAACACATCAAGATTACAGGAAAATAAAAGTTAACGGAAAATTAAGAGTGATTAAGAAGATGATGCTTAGTAACCGGGAGCTCGGTGACAAGATCTCCTGTTAATCCCTCAGTATGTCTCCTTATTTCTTGCATCCACAAAGACTGAGGAAATTAAGATAAAATGGCATATCCATAACTCACTTCCTCTCACCCCCCCAACTCACCTTACAGAACAGCTTGAAATTCTGTCGGCATGCGTGTGCAGCGCAGAGGATGAAAGAAAATTAAATCTATCTCAAAGACCTGATAGGAGATAATTATTGTCTGACTTTTAATTTACATTTTTACGTGGCAGGATTAAAAATGATGGGCAATTCAAAAAGGAAAAGTGGGATTTCACTCCTGTCTCGTGTCTTTAAAGGACCGCATGCTCTCAGCAGCCTGTTTTTAGTTAAGTAAAGGGCTCATTCCAGGTGCTTTTCTTACATTTTCCATGCACCTCTAACAGTTTACTCTGCAGGAAATTAGATAGGACTTGGGTCCATTGATTCTTCCATCCATTTTTTACTACTTATCTGGGTCTGGGGCGGTGGGGCAGCAATGTAAGAAGAGTTGCCCGGATCACGTGGCTCCTCAATCCATCTCAAAGGGATGGGATGGATTGAGGACACTCTTTGGAGGAAGCGGCGTGTATGCATGAACTTATTCATTTGGTTATTACTCACAGCTTTGCCTTTAGGTGAGAGGCGACTTCTTAGCCTTTATGCTCGGCTCTATCTTCACTATAGCGGTATGGCATCATGGTGCATCACTCAATCTCCTGCTCAAGTCTGCCCCCATGTGTGAGCAAGACTTCAAGATAA